ATCTTTTGTTTTTAGCCATTGTAATGCTGCCTGGGAGTGGCAGTGTCTGTTTGTGTTTGTGCATTTTTTACACACATTCATGGTCGCCTAGTGATTCTTTTGCATACTGGTCTGTAACTGCTAACCTTTGACCTTTCTGTGGAAGAATAATTTCCATACAGGGATCAATAAATTATTCTTATTATTAGACACCTCAACTGTTAAGTACTGCTGGTTGAAAAATCTGCCCCAAATAGTCTTTGCAGTGATACCTGACTTAAGGGTGTGGACACCACACCTCAAATGATAGATTTAAGGCATATTGGCGTGAGATTACTTGGTCCTTACCTGTGTTTCAACATGCTGGCTGTGAACGCAGAATGTCAGCCACTCCTCTGTCAGCTGCTCTTTTAGTCAGTGGTGTCAGGTGAAGGACACAGAGGAGACTGCACATGATGAGGATCTGGGCTTACAAAGCACAGAGGGAAGTGTTGACATTGTAGTGACTCAACGGTGACTTTGCTTTGTTTGACTTCTTATGTGCTTATATGGTTGCTCATAAACCAAATTCGTCAAGCTTGTCTGGAAGTTAGCCTTTTTCCTTCTCCTTAGCTGCTCCTTTTTTGGAGCTTCATATTCGAACCCATCAGTGTAAGCTGCTTATGAGTTCTGAGGCTCGTTCGTGCATTGTCGTCACGTTTAATCAATCAAAACCAGTATCTACACTGAGTGCTGCTGCGGACAGCCCGTAATCTGATTAGCGTGGATTACACCCAGTGTATGGAACTCTGGAAAAAAATGCATAATCTCTAACTTTGATTAAAGGGGCAATACAAGGGATATACACAGAGGATTATTTTACCATTCACCAGGCCGGTTTTAGCAGTTATGTTAAGTTAGAGATGTTTTGTCAGAATTCAGTCATCCACCCATTTAAAACCAGGTATAATTACCAATGCTAATGTTCCAGTTTTACAGTACCTATAATGTGTAAGCAACCACCATTAAAAGTAATTAACAATAACAAACTCATTTAGTGTAGGCAAATTTCTGCATCTTCCACTTCTTGCATTGGTTTGAAGGAATTTATTCACAAAAAATCATAACCTCAGTCATCATCATTTTCAGTTTTTCAAATGTTGGTACGCATTTTGGCCCATTTTGGATTTCAGTTGTAGTGCAAAGTATAAGAGATTAGCAGAATATTTAAAGCTGCAGTAATAAATATTTGTATATTGGATTAAATTACGTGATGTAAAAGGGGTTGTTCGTAGTGATGAATGTTGAGTGTATCGATTTTTGTATTTAAACCCCGAATTGCAAGCACCCACATAAATTGACGGCTATGATTTTGATGTTACAGCGAGTGTGATGAATACAAATCCCACTATTCTGGTGACATTAAGTAAACTTTATTCATATGGTGGTATGTTCTTTATGCTATAACAGTGTTCCTAAATTTGGATAAAAAAAATCAAAAAGAAATCACAATTTATCACCTTGCTTACAGTTTTTACTGAATCATAATCCCTGTATCGTGATACATATCGTAAGATTCTTACCAATACATAACCCTAAAGTATATATATGTATATATAATGTTAATAGGCAGTTTTTTGTCCGTTTGCCCGTTTCTCTGTCTGTCATCTCTCGTCTTGTCTCTTCCTGTGTGTGTGTGTGTGTGTGTGTGTGTGTGTGTTTCACTTACTGAGTCGCAAGTCTGTACTGGAATGCACAGATTTGATTAGCTGATCCCATGAGATGATTTACAACACATGCATGGTCCGCATCAATATCGGTTAAACCCGCACATCGAAGAGGTGAACAGGCCCTTACTTGCGTCACACTTCACTTGCACCACAATATAAGGTCGGACTAAAGATCTGAGTAATGGTTCCCCAAAAGTACAGAAAATGTCAGTATATTTTATCAATAGATTTTAATTTTATATCATATTTTATAATAATCAGTTTGCGATAATTTCTATTGAGGCTAGAAGTTGCCACTATAACTCATATAATTAGCACTTAGAATACACACATAAAAATATAAACTGACTATAAACTGTGTATATATAACTGTATATATAACTACTAAAAAGTAATCCGAATGATCAATGAAGATATAAAATTGAAAATGCAAACATATATGATAGATTATTTTATATATGTTTGAAGTTATTGATTCCAGCCCAGTTATTGTGTTGGCACTCTACAGCCTTCACACAGGACAGCAGCTATTCCTTATTTTCTGTATTTCTTCAACCCATATAAAACTCTATAGTGACAAATGTATTAATGTTTTTAAAAACTTGGCAAATGTGTTTACTGGCACAGCAGTGAGTCACCTCACTAATGGCTTCCTGTTGACACTTGGAGTAGAACTCCATATGAGTGAGCCTTTACAACATCGCAACCTGATCTAGCGAGAGCGACAACGAGGAAGGAGAGCGACATTACTTATTGACGTTGGTAGCTGATGTTCACGGGTCATTTACAGACTGAAGTGTCCATTTCCCTTGCAAGGCTTTGATGTTCATAAATGAAACTTGCTGCTGTAAAATGTAGACTTCCACCAATGTTACCCAGTGCTGGCTATTGCTCAATTATACCAAAGCACCAAAGCCACAAAGCATCTGAGTTTTGCATTCAGAAAATCCAACCTTAGATACTGCTGGGTCAACTCATAATGCAAAATGCAAAATCAAAAGAATAAACACTGTTTTTACAGTAGATTGGATTCCACTGGAAATACAGCGGTTAGTGTAAGAAATAACTCAATAATAAATCAATAAGGATGTTGGCAAAGCACAAAGGAATCACTCAAGGGTTATCCAATGAATGGAGTTTTGTTTGATAAGTTTACATTTGAGGGGAGAGGTTGGGGAGGGGTATTGTTTGTTTTCACTGGTGGGACTTTGTTTCAGAAAAGGCTTTAAGAGCCTCCCAGAGAGTTGTTTGAAACAGACGAATGGCAGGGGTCAAGGTATGTATGGCTGCAGGTGATAGAGCCTAAAAAAATGTTTGGCATGTCCAGTTAACTGCCATGGGGGAAGATGTTATCAGCGAGAGTGTTACCCTAACAAAAGAGACCAAAGAGTAACAGTTTATTTGTACCAACAGACTGTAAAAGCTAAAGGCCGCTCAGTTTTTGAATGCTGAATGACTATAAACAACAGTAACCTGTTGCTTTGTTGACCATTTACTACAGGCATTGGGCTGTCTTTTTCTGCTACAGGGGATAGTTCAGGTTTTTTGAGATGGGGTTGTATGAGGTATTATCCATAGTTAGTGTAGTCGGTAAAGTTGATAGCAGTTGGCACCTAAAAAAACCTTTAATTGGATGCTATATTTAAATTATTTTCACTAACTTGTTGTAAGACAGGCCTTTCCGGCGGGAAACTGAAGCGTTTACATTGTTCTCTTCAAAGCCACTGGACTCCTTAGACAAAAACAGTAATTTTATCGAAGCACACTTGAGTTGCTGGTCTATCGCTGCCTCAATCCGCAGCAAGTAACGTTAGTTTGGATCCGAACTAATGTGTTAAAGCGCCAAATAACACAAGAAACTGGGGCCTGGCCAACCGCCGTCCACTGTACATTATGGATAAGTACGTCATACAACCCCACTTCAAAAAAACCTGAACTAACCCTTTAAACACTTTGTGCGTCAACTTCTTGTGTGCTTGTGTTTGAATGCAGCAAGGCTCATGATTTACACTAGTGCTGATTCATTTGAAAACACGGTTTATTTGTGCAAGGTTATTTTGAAACTTGTCAACATTAAAATGTGGAGAATAGAAAGGGGTGCAACAATTAGCCCATTAACTGATTAGTTGATCAAGAGAAAATTTATCAGCAACAATTTTAAGTTGCCATTTTCCATGCTAAAACGCCAAACATTTGCTGGTTCCAGCTTCTGAAGTGTCTGTGAGGATGTGATGCTTATCCTGGTTAGCTCAGTTGGTAGAGCTGGCGACACTCAGGAGGCTGAGTCCTCGCTGCAGCGGCCCAGGGTTCGAATCCGACCTGCGGCCC